TATGATGTATACAATACTGGGCAAAAATTGTTGAATAATGGTAATTTGGCTCAAACTGTCAAATGATTGGTTGACACATGCCACGAAGCAGCACATGTCAGCCAATCATTTGTCTGTTTGAGCCAAATTACCATATTCAACAATTTGCCCAGTATTGGTGTTATCTAGCAATTTATGATCATGGCTGATTCTCCCCGCCCTATATATAGATTTTAGATCTAGAGATTGATAATCATATAGGAAATAAAATTTTTTCTTTCTCTCTTTCGCTGCTTTTACCGGTGCCATATTTTTTTAATAAAAACCAGTTTTTTTACCTTATGACACAGTAAAACATATTTTGAGAGCTGTGCAAACATTTTAATGCCAAAATCAAAAAGTAAATTGAACAAACCCGGTAATGTGAGATGAACGCTATTTCATCATCTGGGGCAAAAAATGCAATGAACGAAGCCACATCAACTGTGATCAAAGAAACCAGAGCTGTTAATGTGAAAAGAAAGCCAGATCAACCATGGTCAGTAATGAAATGTCAAACTTGAATGGTAATGTTGGGTCAATTGTGACTGGTAATGCTGAAATTGAAGGCTGTAGTGTGAATGAGCTTAATTTAAACAGGAAAAATAAAGTAAAAGCAGTTTTTTATTTCTTTTATTTCTTGTTTGTATGAAAAAAAAAGCTAATAAAAATTTTAGCGGGTTAGATATTCTGAACCTACTTTGGAAGAAATTGAAGCTATCCATGAAAACTCAAGAATATAATCAACATACAAAGCAACGCACGTCTGGATTAAGGCCTTTGAAGAATTTCATTCTGATGTGGGCTACAAGGGTAAAATTGAAGAAATTGATTCAAAAGAGATCCTCAAAGATCAGCTAACATGATTTATATGCGCTATGAAATGAAAAGATAGTGGTGAATACCATGCGTCTTTGGTTCGTAACTGTATGGCTGCGATTTGGCAGTACTTAAACCAACATTCTGTAATACAGAAACCTATAGAGATTCTTAACCCAAAGGTTTATTTTGATTTAAACATCGCGTTAATGGTAAATTAAAAAATCTTTCAGCGAAAGGTTTTGGCAAATGCAATGGGTCAGATGGGCTGACCTTACAAGAAGTTGAACATATCCTCACCCACCATACTATGCAGCATAATACTCTGAAAGGATTGTTGCACCATGTTTTTTTTATAATTCTATTTTATTAGCTCTGTGGGGTGGTGAATATCAAGACCTTCAAATCAATAACTTCATGAAAAGGTTTGATAGAGAAATCGACATAAAACTTTTTAGATCAAAAATGAATTAGTGAGGTCTTGGTGACTATGATAGAAAAGCTGAGGTCATTAGTCTTCTCAACATCAAATATATAATTGATGACTATGAGTTCTATTTCATTAAATACTCTGTTACGAACGTGTCAAATTTTTATTTGAAACTGATTTCAACAAACATGGGTAAATATCTGTTTTGTATTTGTTTTTTTTAGTTTTTTTTTTCATCTTTTTTAATTTTAGCCTTTATTACAAGTCGAATTTAATAGCCAGTAGTTCTATAGATATGCTTTTGGCAAACAAAAATTAAGTGAATATTTTCAGATTATCTGTAAATTAGCTGATATACAATTTGGTATCTGTAATATATCTAATCATTCCAGGAGGAAAACCGCAGTTCAAGTTCTAAAAGAACTTGGGTATTCTGATGCAGTGGTTATGTCAATTATATAGCATAAATCACAAAAGGATCTGGCTGCATATAAACGACCAAAGTCCACCATGCAGCAAGAAGGCCTTAATAGATTTTTTAGAGCATTAACATGTATTAACTATGAAGAAGGGTTGATTAAAGATACTTATACAACATAATTTTTTTTTTTTTAAAAAAAAAATTTTTATTATTTAATTTTTAAATTTTTATTTAGAAAAGGAAACATCTAAAGCACAGCCAGATCATGTAAAGTATCCAAGTGAAGGTTTTACTAAAGCAAATTTTTTAATGAAGTGGGCAAGTTCAGTGGTATCACTTGCAAGTTTACTTGCAAGTGATATCAACAATCTCAAACTTTGTTCAACGTCTGATTTTGATGACCACGAAGAAGCAGCTGTTGTCAATGAACCATCAGGAACAACCGGCACTGTGAACTACCAGGAATAATTGTTGCCAATGCTCATAATTATGTTTAACCGAGGTTGTGAATAGACATAGTATAATCAAAAATAATATTGTCTAATTGTCTAATAGTCTATTGAAATTTTATAAGTCTAATGGTCTAATGTCTATTGGTTTTAAACTAATTTTTTTTATATATTAGCAAGATGATGATAATAACAAAATTAACCAATCAGATTGTTTTTAATTATATAGTAATTTGTCTATTGTCTAATGACTTAATTAGACACCATTTGACCATTAAACTGTCTATTGAGTCTATTGGATTGTCTATTGTCTATTCACTACCCTGGTTTAACGATAACAATTTGGATTTGGGTATCAAAAACTCGAATATGTAAGATGATTATGTTATCAACGAAAAGCATTGTGTCATTTATCATGATTGTACTATTTAGATCGGAGATGTCTTTATTAACTGTTAAAATGACTGTGCGGTACATGGCATAGGTAACAGGCCGGATACGGCAAAGACAACACGAGAAAAAATTGCAATAATATTGCACTGGGCGTCGCCGTAGGAGTGCTGAGCCGGTGGTTTCTCGCCTTGCTGACGCAAGCCGGCTGTCAACAGAGAACATACGAGGATTCGAGCGGAGGAATGGTGAGATCACGTGGTGCCCATTGGGTGGGTTTGGTGCATTTACTAATTTCGGCCTCACTTTCCTATTGGTCGGGATTATTCGCACCAGTTTACATGTCACCTCTAATTAAAATGTGACACCTAAATTAAGGTTTGGGATTAGCATTAGTGGGTAAAATTATACTAAAATTTTGCAAGGAATTTTTTTGTTAGTGCCAAAATGTGATTACTTAGGCGAAATTTTGAAATAAATGTGACTTTTCGAAAAAAAGCGATTGTTGTTTTGATCTTCACGTTACACCTGAT